CTCATTAGATGCATTTTCAGAGTTCCCAGATAAAAATGTTACAAAAGTTAATCTGAGTGCTCGTTAATTGTAGTGTTAATATTTTATATAACGTCGCACTTACAAAGAATATTTGATACGCGCCCAGACACATTAACATGCTGATAAGCAACACATATAAGAAGATATTTAATCGAAATACAGACTCGAACTCGTTGCTGAACTCGATGAGCGCCTGATGTTGTCGGATATATTTCTTCATACGCGCGTAACACTTGTCCGTGTAACCAACGGAATTACTGTCCCCGTCGTTTTCATTCCATATACTGCTCAATCTGTATCCGACTATGCGAAATTGAGTACTCAAGTATGGATTGAAGACACATAATAATGATTCAACGCAAGTGTACGTTATGGCGACCTGAATTGTGCTTAACGTCTGTAAAATATTAAGAAAATTTGATAAACTGATTATATTATTATTTATAAACATTTTATACGATATTACTGTATTTTTTTCGACTGGTATACATTATTTGACAGCTCTTTTCGCTACCAGATCAGCATGACTTTCACGTTATGGGTCTTTCTTTCGGAAATTTAATTTTTCATGTAAATATATAGAGTTTCAAAACAGAAGTTTAAAATGACAATTTAATTGACGATGGCTGGTCGTGTGATAAGTATCATCAACAGTGTGCTGATGTTGAATAGTACGGAAGTTTATTTGTAAAAACGTCATTAACGATGACAAACAAACAGATACGTCTAACTCTAAAAATATTCGCATGTATAGCATTGGAATTTAGATAAAAATAAAGACAATGAGAATTGTATTAATTACACCATACTGTAGTTGAGGGAATGAGCTATCGAGTAACATATAACCATTGTAAGGTGTATATATTTCGAAGGAAAAGAAAATATGTTGTAAGATTGTAATGCAGTCAAATATATTAACAGTTTTTACCATTTCTACCATCGTCATCGTACCAAATCTTTCTTAGATATCGAAATAGACGATACCTGCATCAGAAATGTCATCTCATAATATGGCGAAACGTACACTGAATCGAAGTACAGCCTATAAATAAGTGCCCTTCTCGTATTATTATCTCTTCTCATGTTCACTAAAATACAGACGAAACGAATAAACATATTTCAGTATCAACCTGTATAACATACTTCTATTATTTTTCGGATTTGTCGGTGACCAATAATTTAATAATACTATTCTATTTAGAGTATTAAATTTTTAATAATTTTTTTATTTTATTTCTTAATGTTTCAATAAAATATTTATAATTTCTGGGATCAATTTCATTTACTTACTAACGATTGGTGTTAGTATGTAATTGCCAACGACAGCGATAGATGCAGCATAGGTTAATCCGAGAGTTAAAGTGGACAAATTTCGTGCCCTCGTCATTTCTACTTCTTCATTGTCATCATAATTCGAATGCCAAAAATTTCGTTGGGCGTATTTCACAAACACATGGATCTCATCTTCGAAAAAGCATACTATCATAAATTTCACGAATGCCACGGTGACAAGGGCAGTATTGCAAGTCATATAAAGAACATTCTGTAATTGGAAAATTGTTATATTTTTATTTAGAATTAATTCAAAAATTAATTTTAACAAACTGAAAAGTTTTTCATGAATACAGAAACTGAAATGAATTTATTAGAAGTGCAATGATTTGAAATGCAATTGAATAATTATTTTTGTATTAGTTATTCGATATCTAATTTTAATTGTACTGGAGTTTTGAAAATTTGCTTTCAACTTTTGGAAAAGAGAAATATTTTTAAGGTGAAGCTTTTCAATCGATCACTTAATAATATTGTGTTAAGGTAATTAAGAAGTGTTAAATTTTCGTCTGTCTGTTCTATAATAACAAAAGCAGAAAGTATATTCCTATTTCTTGAGGCTTCAAATTGCTACGATCTCTTAATTGAACAACAAAAACCAGTAAATTTGAAACTTGCTACAATTGTGTTCATAATTGAATTTTATATTAAAATTTTATAAATATTTCTACAAATGAAGTGATTACTGTGAAATAGAATATTACATTGTGATCCGAAAAATTATGGAGAATATTGTATCATATGTATTTGATACACATTTACTATTGTGTCGAAGTTTATGTCTGTTCACGCCTATTTATGGCGCTTTGCATTGGAATGCGTAAATGTCTATATTTGTATTCGTAATATATTCATAGACATTACAATACATCTTTACTTAATATACTTACTACAGTTTCACATACCTACATTCTCTATTGTATTATATTAAAGGTTTTATCAATATTTTCTTTAGGTTTAGCTAATAGGTAGGCGCAGCGAGTATTTCTCAAAAACTGTCAACTGTTAAGAGATGATTTTTCTTTAAATTAAGCTGAAATGTTGTAAAATATGAAAAAAGTATACAAAAAGCATGATCAGTAAGTTTCAATCTTCAGAAAATTAATTGAAATTGATATTTTCTAAAAAGAATAAAATTCGATAGTCAAAATTTCTTGTAACTTACCTCGAGTTAGTTTAATCGGGAGTGTAAACTTTTCATTGGAATACTTTTATTATTCGTTAATTAAATTAATTTTTACAGTTACTGAAATGCTGAATTCAAATTTGACCTGAGAATTCAACCGCACATTCACTCGAAAGGACGAAACCTTTGCAAGATATATTCACCAATTCAACTTATTTGTTATGCTTCTTGTCTATTTTCCGTTATTTCAAAACATTTCAGTTTCAATTGAAAAGAAATTCATTGCTCTATCTGAATTCTGTGAAAAGTGACCAAATATTCCCAATGCAAAACTGACAAACATGCAAAAATAGATTTATATTTCACGCAGAGAAAGTCAGATTTATTCTACAAACACTGTTATTTAGTGTTAGAAATTATAATTTTAAATATTTATAATTATATATAAATAAACACATATAATATAATTTAGAGTTATCCCAAGTTAATCCAAACTTAACCAGAACGATGCGTCCTCTGACACTCAAACGGTAGAACATAATAAAAAAGTAGGAAAATATGAAACGCACTCACGTCGATATCATCCAAAGTGTGGCAAATATCCGTAATGCCAGTATAAGACGCAAAAAGAAGAGCAGCGGCCGTGGTCATCTTGATACCACGTCTCAGTATCTTCCTATCTTTTTTGCTTGATGCCACACATCCTGTCATTTTCAAGAGAAAGAACATCAAAGGTATAGAAATGTCTTTCTTCTTCATAGCAATTTACGAATGATCTGATCGTTCAACTTGTACAAGATGTAGTAAAGAGTACGTTGGTATTATTTACACCGTCACTGCTTGCTTGTTACGCTTGATATTACTTTGATCAGAGGGGATTACTTACCGTGCGCGGCCGTATGAGCGTGTACGGGTCACTGGAAATAATTGCTTTCGTTAAATAAACATTCTGCGCGATTCACTTATTCATTGGCTGGGAGGGTTGATCGTTGGCTGTCGAGCGGATAACGATCAAGTCTCAACTTCTTGTGATCCATTCAGCGTGATAATTGCAGGCAAAGCAGACCGTGCATACTTCTGTCTCGCGGACAGTTGCAATGAAAAATGCACTTAGCGGAAGGAAAATTCATTATTAGAGGGGAGATGTATAGAGTGTTACCCGTAACGCGATTTCTTACACACTTGGAGTCACTTGATAGAATATAGTTTAGAACAAGTGTTGCGAAGCATGGAGTGTACAATAGATAACAGCAAATAAAATTTTGGAAACAGTAATCTCTGTGTTAAATTACGTTTAGACTGTTTTAAAATCAAATACGACCAAAAGCTATATATTTCACATTTCCACTATTGTAAATCAAGTAATATGTTAGTAAAAATATCATGTAATATGTGTTTTGAATCCGCCTCGATGTCCTATATAATATGGTAAAAAAAATGTGTTCGAAAAAATATGTGTTCGCCGTGAAAACAAACTGTTTTCGAAATTTCTTTGACTGGCACCTATTGTTCACTCCATACCTTGCGACTATTGTAAATCTTTTTTGTCAGATGTATATTGAGGAACGCGTCGAAATTCGAGCGAAGGAAACCTGATGAATCTTTTTGAACTAGAATATTGGCGAATCTTTTGCGTAAAAAAAGGTAAGAGATTGAAGGATTTTGTTTGGTACAAAATTAAATTGAATTTGATAATTGAATTCGTAGAATTGAATATAATTCGTAACTAAAAGTCATAAATAAAGGTCTAGTGAATCTATGCTTGGCTCTGTAGTTTAATGAAATATTGTTGTATTCATTGAATGTAATTGTTTACATATTGCCAATTTTCATAACATGGCATAAAAATGTTAGAAATGCATTTTCTAAGAAATATTGAAGTTTTACAAAGAAATCTTTAATATTCTAGATTTTCAAAATTTGAGAGTGACAAAGTGATTATGGGATCTTACTGAACTCTATAACTATTTTTATAAATTAAAAATAATCATAACGAAGAACCAAAAATTCGCAAACGTCTACTTCATTATTCAAGCGAATTTGTATTTCAATTTATGCATAACGTGTCTGAATTGCCATTCAAATCCGAAAATCAAAATCCAAAAAAATACATATTCTACTCTTCATTCACAGGGTTATTTGAAATTCTTTGAACGAGATCGGTCCATGAAAAAGAGATACGTGTGAAATATGTTTTACAAAAACCTGCGTTCCATCTACATTTCATCGAATCCGACGTGCCCCCTCGGCATCAAGCCCGAAACGAGATAAATCTAAACGGCGCTTTGATACGGGCAAGAAAAAAAGAATAATCTCTGCAGGGGTGGAAAGGTAACAATAGAAACACCAATACAAAAGGAAAATACATCTGATTTACAGTGGAATATATATTCCTTTCATCATTTCCTTTGAGAAAATACATATACTTATTAGCAAACTCGTTAATTCTCGTGAGACACGATTCAGGACTTCGGTCGCCTCAGAAGTCTCGAACAGACGTTTTGCAATGAGTGGGCGGGGGGAACAGGTGGAGGTTAGGTGAAGGGTCAAGAGAATGATCCGAAAAATGATAACTTTTATTGCTACTTCCACAAGACAGACGAACGTTTTTCAGACCAAGAAACGTTATTTTTGGGAGGCCGACCGACGCTGAATTGTCGACACGCACAACAAATGTATTCCTCCTTATTTTCTCGTATGACCACTATTATACTCGAAACGTACAACAAACGAGGTCTACCTCTCGCGGTGCTTACGTATTGGAGCCTTAACCATAGAAATGTGTACTATACGCCTCTCATGTCCTCAGTCAATCCTAAAAACTAATAAGCCACAGGGGCAAAAGACGTCTCTCGCTAGGGATTTCGTTTATAATTTTAATTGGTTCAGTGTAACCGTATTGAATAATAGTAAATTAATATTGAAAATCAAATGAGAAAAGATGAAGGTTGATCAATGCGATCCGCATTCTTTTCGAGGCCCTTCTCGTGACAAAAATTAAAAGCTGCATAGATGATTTATGATTTCCTTCTCAACTGTGCTTGATAATACAACTTTGTTTGTGTTTACATTTACTGTAAAGGTTAAAGATTAATAATGGACAAATAATATTTAATTCATATTTAAGTCTAACTTAACTCTTATCATACAATATCGAGTCAGACTCGCGAGGAGTCCTATTATTAATTATTATGTTCTGAAGTGAACGTGGCTATAGATGAATTGGGAATTTTTCTTTGTTGTTTGATAAATTATTAATGACAAAGTTACTGTAGCAAGCGCAGTTATGAAGAAAGTCGTAAGACAAGGGGTTAGAACAGTGTCGGGTGAAAGATCGGAAGGCCCCTATACACGCTGAAACATGCGGCGGTGCAGGCATCACTACAAGCGATGAATTCGAGCCTTCTTTACTTTTTATTTGAATACAACATGTATCATGAAACTTTGGAAGACTCAAACCCACCACTTGGAGCGATACCTGCATCGTCGCGGGTTTCAACGGGATTGGGTGCCTTATGAAAGGTGCCGATAGTGCTTGGCAACAGACTCATGGGAAGAGAAAGACATCTTCCTCCTGTCTTGAGTGATTCAATAGTGGCTGAAGCTGAACACACGTTAACTCTAGGACTATCGAGTGTTTAATACTGAAGCTACCAGACAGGTCGAAATGACCTATTCGTGGTTCCTTCTTTTCACAATTATTACATCGCACTCCGTCGGATTCTGTTCCGTCTGCTTCCTTCGTCACTTGGCTCAGCCAATAACGTCGACTGTTCTATAGCTACTAACGCTAGCACCCTAAGTGGGAGAATCCCCTTACTCTTCTGACCTTTTAGCTGTTAGGATTGATTTAGGACGTGAGAGGAGTATAGTGCCATTATCGTTACACTGAATAGAATTTGGGGTTCCCGCGTGGTCGGGTCAGAGTTTGGAGATCATGGATCAGGGTCGGGCGATAGGCATCGACATTGGTATTCGCTTTCTCCCAAAATCCTCTTTCTCCGTATAATACGCTTTGATACAATAGTAAAACACTTATCAATGTCGTCTTTGCGTACAGTTTTCCTTACCTAGTATGTTTCTATTATTTCATTGTTATTCGGATAACGCCATTTATCCATATAACACGTGTACCCGTGAAAGCAACGTTAAAACGCAACTGAGAACGCCGACCATGTCGAGTCGCGATCGGTCGATTAGTCGATTCTAGTTTGATGGTTCGTTTACCGAGGGACCTTACTCATATCGTTATACAAATATTCGATATTCGGTTACAATTTCGCGTCTAATTACGAAGCTGAAGCGTCTTCTCACGCAGCAGACTCGTCCACGTTCGATCGATCGAATCGGTTTTATCGTTCGTCGACCGCCGCTGTTCGTTCGCGAATTGTTCGCGTACCACGCACACAATGAATGGTTCTTCTGCCAGCGTTTCTGGCAACGATTTCGTTGGAAACTACAAACGTTCCGCGTACAAACGTATACGTATTAGTACAATTGAATACGATTTTTGGGTTCGCTGGGTTTAACGTCGATCGCTGCGTTTCAGCGTGTCGTCGACGAATTGGGCGAGTTCGGGATAGTTCGGTCGATTTTGCAGGGGTTTCAGCGGAATTCGCGGTTTTATTATTATTTTGTGATAATTGTGTCGTATTCAGGGTAAAGTGATTAACTGTAGTTTCTCGAATGTTCTTGAGTTTTAGCAGTAATCTATTGTTTCTGTTTTCTAATTGGGCTGGGTGGAAATATTTTAGCGTTGTTAATTTGTTAGAAATAAAAATGAACTACATGATCATTGTATTCTTATATTTACACAAATGATTAACAATTGATAATAAAACATAATATTGCAAAAACAAAACATATTAGAATAAAAGATAATATTATAAAAGTGGAATTTATAAAAAGAGAGACATTGTATTGCAAAAATGAAATGTATAAAAATGAAAATTATATAACAGTGAAATTTAGAAAAATTAAAAAATAATACTATAGAAGAAAAATTTATGAAAATAAAACTTTGAATAATAGTGTAAGTTAATGTTTTTATCACGTGCCTGACATGTTGCAAGAGTAAAAATAAGATTAAAATACCAGTTTGGTGTTTTAATTACTCAATTTCATTATATTTGTCTACTTTTCGATTTCTGGAGTTAATCAATTTGACAACTGAACGACTCAATTGTCGGTGCGAGATATACGTACAGTTATTGATCTGTTTTATTTAAATAAGATAGAGATCCCTGTCAGATTTCAGTGTGTTTTAATCATTTTATTTCTCAGCGCTAACCAATCTTTTCGTACGATGGAACTGTCCCGGACTCACTATATAATCTAAATGTTGAGTGTTCTTTGGAAAGCGATTCCTTGCGATTATTTTCTAAAATTTGCGCGTCTACTTGTAGCTCGCGTGTTAAACAAGCGACTCGTGTCACAGGAATGAATAATTGCACGTGTAAAAGGAACAGAAGGGAGCGTAAGAGTTCACGTTACTTCGAAGTGCGTGTACGCGAAGACTCTGGTGGCCAGTTTAATTTAAATAATATTCATTTGAATTTATTGTTGAAACTTGGATGCCCAAAAGCTTGAACGAGAGTTTTTGTTTTTAATACGTGGCACCTTTGTGACTTCCTGGTGGGCTGTACACGAAAGAAACTTATATTTCAATAATTTATAATTAAATAAAACCAGACCTAAATTGTCTATTTATTTAAGAATTTTCTTCAATTAAAATTGCATATTTATATTTTTTAATAGTATAAATACAAGTACCTTCACGAAAACCTTAATATAGCAATTAAAAGAATTTTAATAATATAAAATTGTAATGTAGGTAAATATTAATGAAATTATTATTAAATATATTTGTAATTTTCATGTAGCAGTTTATAATTGTATGTTTCAAATATATCACGAGGTGGTAACGAATTTTTAGACAATGATTCGTACAAAGTTAAGATAGGTATATGATGTGTGTCCTTCATTGTAGAATCAGTAGAATGCAGTTCACATATGGTCAGACAAATAGAATTATCAGCGAGTAGAATAAGGCCTGTGTTTAGTCAGACAAGTGGTATAAAAGTTGTTTGCCTACTGTAAGTAGGTACAAAGAAATTTAAAGGTAAAATTATAATTTCTCTGTAGCTTCTGTTCATTTTCTTGCATACGTCTTAACAAACATTATTTAATCTCTAAATTAAAGAAATAATGTATGAGATTAAAATGTTCTTATGTATTCAATACAATAAATTAAAAAGATTGTAGTATTAGAATTATCAAAGCAAACTTGTTGAAGTACATCGTTACTTCGAATTGCGCTAAGAAACAGCGCAGTATTGGGATATACTAAAAAATTAAGTTAAAATTTTGTTTTTTTTAGTCAGGATTTTTGTGCATGAGAAATAATCAGAAACTGTATTAAATTATATTGGATTTTCAATGTAATTCTTCTAAAAATTCTCGTAAGCTATAAACCCATAAAAATTCATAGCTTAATTATTTCACACACAAAAATTAACGTGAACAAAGTTATCCTATACTGTTATGCATAAAGTGGTCACATATTGAATCGAATAAAACCAGTCAAAATTCATGTTAGAATTTTAATGCATCTTATTTCAATTCACGTTAACGTATTTATCAATAAATTAGTATTTTCAGAGCGAAACATGCATCATATAAAATATATTCTTTCATCCAATCCAGCTACAACGATCCATCATTGCATTTTAAAGTGCGAACAAATTTAATAACCCCAGATTAATCATGACATAATATGATTTACGTTCATATTTGAGTATAAAGCATCCCATCAAATAGATAAAAACACATATCAAAGTCCTATTCGCATTAAAATTACATTCTATCAATTATATTTCAAAATTCCCACGTATTATTACCCCTTCCCTTGAATTCATCACTTTCTCCGTGCATTACGAACTACACAAAATTATACTTCGCTATTCTCCATCGATTACGCAAACACAGAATCCAACCAATAAACTTATCAAACAAAAATGATTATACAGCACAATTGGGTCGTCCCATAAATAATCGATTTCTTTTATATTTATTTTATTTTAAAAAATAAAGATAAAACTGTTTTTAAAATAATTACAATGTATACATAGACAATTTAGAGATAACGAAGAGGAATATGCTTTAGATTATAAACAGCACATATTTATTTTGAAAAGTAAATGAAATATATACAACCAACATATTTACGGGATAACCTAATAAAAGAAAATCCTAAAAAGATCTAGCTCGTGAAACGAGACACGTAATACAAGTTACAAACGTATCTCGAATAGAAGCTAGAAAATCGTTTGAAAACAGCGCGTGGATTCGTATAAAAACTCGAAAAATCTAAGTTCGCGATTACGAGCAACCAAAGCGAATCGATCCGAATGATTTCGCGTAGAATGCAACAGGCAAGCGAGGCCAGATTAATCAGCTAACGAGCTTAGAAAACAATGCAATCGATAAATCACCCTTCGATCGTGAGCGGAATTACATTTCGTAATCGTGGGTACTCACAAACCAGGAATACAATCGTGTAATCAGGAATGTTACGTGGCACGCGGTGTGTTTGCATCTGTGCGCGTGTGCGTATGTGCGTGTATCGGTGTGCCCTCGATTATTAATGAATCAATTGGAAAATTATCTACATAGACGTTACGCGTTAGAAGAAATCTCATTTTCGTTTCGATGGTAAATTACGGTTGAATGTCAGCCACCATTAAGTTCCCTTTAAATGGTATTAAATAAATATATTGCTGTGTACCGTATTTCTGAAAACATTACGTTCTCGCGTCGGGAATTTTGTGCCCTTCCAAATTCCGCGTACGATGCGTATAATTCTTAATCGTCTATGTTTTTCAACGAGACGCGAACTGTCTCGTTACGAATTTAAAAATGTCAAACACAACGATCTTATGTCATCTTTGTGCAACGATTTCGTGTTTCAGACGAACGAGTGAGTCAATGTGTTGCGCGTATACAGTAGAATGTCGATTATCTTTGGAAATAAACATTGTTTTATATCAAAATTGTGAATCGATAGAAAAACATTGTTAAAATAGGTTAAACATGATATCAGTGGTTGATTTCTAACGCGAGGATATTTTTAAATAATCGGATTTGATTAAAATGTGTACATTAATTTGTGTAACAAGAGAATCTTTAAAGCAGTAAATAAATAGAGGTGAATTATTAATAAACATTAGTGTTAACTGCTTTGTGAGTTATGCAATTTAATAATAATTCGAGTAGAAAGAAAGTTTATTAAAGAATCTCACTTGTTATTGTTTGCAATGCCAAATTATACTTTTTACTTCGTAGAAAGTGGAAGAGTTTGTTGTTCACATAAATATTTCAATATTTTAGACAGTAATATACTTTTTTCGAATTAATATTATATATTATTTATATATTATATATTAATATACAACATATATTCGAAATGATAATTATTATAATATGAAATGTTTTGGTTATATATTTTTATAAATTTTTTTCTGGCAATATTCAAACAATAACAATGAACAATGAAGTGGCAACATCTTTGTATTTGAAATATAGCGATCCACGAAACTATTCAATAAAAAATAGAAAATACAAAATACTGCAGCATAAAAATATATAACAAATTGAATTTGATTGAAAACATATATACAAAATAGTTTACTTTAATCAATTTTAATTAAAGAGAGCTTTGATAGTTGATTTCCAAATGAAACAAAATAGTTATTATTCTTCTATTAATAAACACATACTTAAAAAAGCAATATTATTAATCATTGTTACAATGGCATTTTATAGTTTAAACAAACTATTGTCTCACAATTTTAACACACAGTATTTTAAACAATGTACGTGCTTTAAATTTAAATCAACGATCATATTATTTTCCTCAGTCTCTAGTAACCACAGAAACCACAAGAATTTTATATAAGACGGGTTACGTAAGTGTAACTTCTTACACTAATATTATAGTTATTACAGAATTAATGTTACGCATTTACATAATGAGGTTGGCCAAATTAGGATAAGAACAAAAGTGTATATCAACCTTAATTGTATTCTTCCTCCAATAATTATGAATATGTCTATCACACTTATTCTTTCTCAATCCGAGTAATTTAATTTTTTATGGGAGAATTAAAATCATGGCGCAACGACTATTCTTAAAATAGGTAACATAAACGTGTTCGTTTCTAAATCTAAAATCTTCACAATTTATTACTCAACTAATTGTAATGAAATATTTTTAGTTATCCTAAACGTCAATGTTACAGATTAATAAACACATATGAATCTTTAAAATGATCATTAACATGTTGAATGTCACATGATTTTACAGAGAAAAAAACACAAAATGGAAAAGATATAATATTAAACCATTCGATTCAACTGCATTATTATTAATTATGTTCATGCTGTCTGAACGTCACCGCATTAGGTATCATTATTTACAATATACAAATCTTTTCAAATAATCATAGTTTAACTGAGTGAATTATAGTATAATATATTGTGAATTATAGTATTATATACTATATATAGATTTGGTTGGCGGTCACCGGTGACCCCCATGGCGTTCAACGTATTAGTAACAGTTTGATATAAATACAACCTTGAAATAAATTGGAGAAAATATTATAATTCATTAAACTAATCTATATCCTTATGAGTCTTATACTTTGATCAATTTTCGAAATTTTGTATATAGAATTTATCTAAAGTACAGTCACATGAAAATAATTAAAATTTATAAAATATCATCTACTCATTACTATATCCGACGCTTTTGCAAATTTCGTAAACAGAATTTCCCTAAAATATAATAAAATGGGATAACTAAAATTTATAGGATATCCTCAACTGCTTACTATAAACAACACTTCTCCGAAAATTTCTCTTCAGAATGTAATACAATGAATAAGCTTATAAAACATGAAGTCATTACCATTACCATCATTTTTCCCCACAATTCACAAACAGATTCCTTCTAAAATATAGTAAAACGAGGATAATGTTTTGCTAAGAACACTAAACGTACCACGATCGGTCAAACGACCGGTTTTTGAATTTCATTTAAATGTCTGCGTTCATTTAACTTGGTATCAATTCCTATATTGTTCGATTAATCAATTTTTTCTCCTCCTTTTGTTTTTGTTTCCGCTAAGAAATTTTATCATCTAACTTGTTTACCTTTATTTTATAACCAATTAATTATCTAGTCACGATAAGAATAGATACATACATAGTGCCAGTACATTTAGCGTTAAAACTTATGAAATCTCGTTGACTTGTTACGATAACCGACGTTCTACTGTTTCATTTAATGAATCGATGAAAGTCGTTGAACTCCATTGTGCCGAATCGTTCTGCGTATTCCAAATTGTTCAAACGGTAAACATCCCCCGGTTCCGCCTAACTACCGAACTCTTGTGTTCAACCTCTTCAGGGACGAACTTTTTAAAGTGAAATGAAAATTGGAAAAATAATAAATATACACAAAAAAATAATGTCCACATACGAGTATGTGGCTGTTGAGTGTTAGTGGTCAATTATAAATGAAAAGATTTCATGCATCCAAGGCATACCGGTTCTTTACATTTTCTACAAATATATCGAGTCGTAGACAATTTTTGTCGTGATATTACGGAGGATTTTGAAATTAGTATCGTATATCCAACGAGCTATTTTTTTATCGTTGAGAGATTCTGTAGTGAATAGTTCTGGAACAAATTTGAATCTGTTTTTTCACTTGGAATAATTTTAATTTAAAAAAGCTAAACATATGTACCAGTGTCCTTGAAGAGGTCAATTCATTAATTTCCAACGCGTGCTGATTTATTGCGCCTCCTCGTTCACCCCGACTCGCCGTGCAAACAAGAAATAAACGTATAAAACGCGTACCAGCGGCCAGTCGGAAGGAAACACAGGAAACATTGAGTATTTCGAGGCTGGTATCCGATTTACACGTTTATTCGTCGCTGAAAACGATACCATAGGAACGGCGAACATGGCCGTTCATGGTTCAGGTAATCGATCTATTTTTTAGGTTATGTAAGAGATCGTCGGCCATGTTGAAAGGTCGATGGACACCAGCGTGATGATTAATTAGTCAGATCGTTAATTCTCCAAAAATGATAACTTTGTTATCTAGTTGTGTCTTCATGGAAATCACCCTTGTCAGGATTTACAATATTGGAACAATTTTATAAGTTGAAATATCTTCGTTTTTTCGTTTGAATATGGAAACAGTATTGTGTTTCGCAGGCAATATTTACACGCATCAAATTTATTTGGCTTATTAGAACCTGTTGTAAACGTAATATAGATAATTAAGGAAACATTTTTTTCCAGTTTTAATTGGAGTCGTTTCAATTGATTTAAATGAGGAAATATACTTATTGTGAAAATTGTATAGGGTTTATCGTAGGAAATATTTACCTAATGAAATTTTGGGATAAGAAATTCGATTGGAAATTAAGTAACAATGTTTAGCTAAATTCTTGATGATTTCTTGTATCTAGAATCAACAATTAAAAAATATTCTTCTTTCATCATTAGTCGTGAATGTGTGAGTAATATTGAAGAGTAGATTCTTATTCAATTTTCAATAGAATTCCTTATTCAATTATTATACTAGATCAATTTTCCCTACGAAGAACCCTCTATGATTTTCACTTAACGAAGTAACAAAAATTATATAAGAAATATAGAAAGAGTTCGATTATATAATAAATTAGAATAAAAGATATTATCTGTAATACAAAGATCATAAATGGCAAATATATATAGGTATTACTAACTACATGATATTCATGACTCCTAACCCAAATCATAGAATAAAGTTATTAAATAAAAGAATTAGTATTTGTTCAGATGGTGTTCATAACTTTAATAAAACCGTATATTAATACGGCAATTTTGTCGTAAATGTAAAACGAAATTGATTCTCTGAAATTATAATAGAATATAAATACCATGGTTTGAAATTATTCATAAATTGAAATCTTACTTTTCATTTTATGATTCATACAATTCTTGTCTAAATCTATTTCAACATGGAACTCCACACGTGGACACCATTGTTTTACGAACCTTGGGAATGTATTCCGTTCAGCTTGGTAATTAAGAAACATCTTACCAGTGAATACATTCAAAAATTATCAGTGTTCTATATATGAACAAGAATTAAAAGCTTACTATCACATCAATACCAAATATAGGTTGACTGAAACTGATATAAGTCCATTTTTGGAAAAATTGAGGTAATGATAATTTTAGTGAGATATAGATATCCTCTTTTTCTGCTTATAATCACGGAATCGATGATTTACGATATCCTCATAAATTAATCAAAAGAAGGTTAACTCTAAAGTAC